CCCCAAAACCCCAAAACCCCAAAACCCCTCAAGACTTCAATTTGAATTGAGTAAATAAGATGAATGTTTCAAAAAATCTGAATAGATTTAATAATTATATTAATGAGATAGAAATCCTTATCACTATTACCAATAGCATTTTTGTGCAGTTTATCTATAAACTCAGTTTTTTGTCAATAAAAATGCAGAGCTCTTGCTTTATCTGGAGGAGCCAACAAAGGAGTCTATGAAGTGGGAATCTTGTATGGATTCGCTCATAGTGATCATGCACCAGATTACTACTACGATGTAGTAACTGGAGTATCAGTTGGAGCAATAAATGCTGGAGCAGTAGCAGCCTGGAAAAAGGAAGATCTGTTGCCGATGAGTGAGTGGTTAAAGGAACTTTGGAGTAATCTAACTACAGATAAAGTGTATTAGAAATGGACAACTGGCTATGTTGATGGTTTAATGAATCAAAGAGGTCTTTATGATAATTCCCCACTTCTCAATACTCTCCAAAATGCCTTATCATAATTCAAGTAATTAGGGAAAAAATTAGTTGTTGCAGCAGTAGATGTTAATACTGGGTAATATGTTACGTTTGACGAACAAATCCCAATGAAAGATGTTCCTACAGCAATTTTAGCATCTGCATCTATTCCATTTGTTTTCCCCCCAACAGTATTCCAGGATCACACTTTAATGGACGGTGGAACCGTGTGGAACACCAATTTAGTTTCAGCAGTTGATAAATGTAAAAGTATGGGTTTCAAAGAAGAAGATGTTATAATTGACACGATCATGATGGACCAGCCTGCTCTTTCAACAGAAGATAAGGGCAAGTCTCTTAACAGCATTGAGAATTTCTTTAGAAAGAGAGAGATCACTAGCTACTATTATACAATTAGTGACATCGAAAGATTCAAGAATGCACTCCCTAAGGTCTTTCTTAGACATTTTATTACTCCATCTATACCATTAGCATCTGGACTAGGTAAATTGAGTTTTGACTGGAAGGACACAGAGTTCATGTTTAATGCAGGGCTAAAGGATGCTTAGACTTACTTAGGCAAAGAACCAGGCAGAGCATTCATGCTTATGGATTAGTGGAAGAAGGACCCTTCACTTCAAAAGGAGTTCCCTCAGTTCACATCATATATAGGCAAGCATTTATATTCTGACCATCTCTATTGATAAACATAGCTAGTTCAATTATTCTTACTTAGCTAAAATGACCTATCGATATATAATAATAAAAATAAAAAGGATCTTAATCTAAGTTTATAATATATTGCTGTTTAAATTTTATAATTTTATAATTGTTATGAGAGGATCCTTGAAAATCACTTCATCTATCTTATTGATATCTAGCTTCATTGTAAACTAAGCTTAAGCTGTATGCAGAGCTGCTGCTTTTGCTGGCGGAGGCTCAAGAGGAGCTTATGAAGCAGGAGTTGTCTACGGTTTCAATCATGCAAAGAACCCAGCTGACTTCTCTTGGGATGTGGTTACTGGTGTCTCGGCTGGTGCACTTAACTCTGCTGGTATTGCACTCTGGGCTCCTAATCAAGGAAAAGAGATGTCAGAATGGTTAGAACAAGTCTGGCTCAATCTTACTTCTAGTCAAATCTACGTAGACTGGCCACTAGGATGGCTTGATGGTATCACAAAAGAAAGTGGAATATTTGATAACACTCCCCTCCTCAATCTTGTTACAAAGCTATACACTTCATTTGGATCAGTGAAGAGAAAGACTGTTGTATCATCAGTGGATGTCAACACTGGTTAATACGTTATCTTTGATGATTCCATGCCATTTTCAGATTTACCTTTACTTACTGTTGCCTCAGCATCCATTCCATTCATTTTCCCTCACAGACATTATGGTGACCATATCTTAATGGATGGTGGCACTGTCTGGAATACCAACCTCATATCCGCTGTTGATAAATGTAAAGCAATGGGACATGCTGATAGCGACATCATTCTAGATATAATACTCTGCGACTAAAAAGGTATTAGTGAAATTGGAGACACTGGAAATGCTCTTAATAATTTCCTTAGATATTACACAATTTAATCATACTACAGTGGAATGAATGATATCTTAGAATTCAAGAAGACCAGACCCAATGTTCAATATAGATATCTTACGCTCCCAACTGGACCTGTTGCAAACGGTCTAAATATGATTAACTTCAATCCTTCAAATACCGTACCTATGATTGAACTTGGAAAGAAGGACGCTGCAAATGCGATTAAGTTGGGTGAAGGTAAAGGATTTGAGTTATTTGAGTAATATATGAAACTTTCTCCTCAAGAGCAAGATTAGTTATCAATTAACGAATACTTCGCCATGCACTATGAAAAGGCATGAATTAACTTTAAAGATTGATTAAATAAGCATTAATCAGATGGAAAATACTTATCAAATATAATTGCAATCTAAACATTAAGCTGCAATATTAGTTATTGGGGTTTTGGGGTTTTGGGGTTTTGGGG